AGGTAGTTTTTATCATTTATGAATCTTTGTCCATTATTATACTATAAAATTCGTGTTAAGGGCATCATTATCCTTTATTTGTCTGTGTGTACCTCAAAGCCTTGTTCACAATAATTCTTCAAAATAAATCTTTGAGAAAAATTAAACTTAATTTATGTTTAACTCTTTACCTTGATGGTTTCATCCCATCTGCATAAAATCTAAGACGGAAAAAACTGGGAGTACTTTGTCACTTTTTCTCTTGATATTTTCCATACCCCTATCAAATTACTAAAAATAAACACTAAGCATGTTTTTCTCCTACTTAACCCTTACCTTGTAAGACAGTACAAGGAGAAAGGGAAAACTTTTATTTTTTATGTTATCAATTCCTGACATATAAATTTGTTGCACTAAGTATGCATCAACTTATATCAGAAGAGAAAAATATACCCACATCTAAAATCGAAAAAAGAAAAAGATTCTAGTCCAAATTGCCCAGGACATAAAATTTGAGCTCCTTAGCCACGTAGATAAATCTTCAGTTTCTGAGACTTCCAACCTCTTTGTTAAGCTTTATCTCCCCACCTACACCCACAACACACCAACACACACACACACACACACACACACACACACACACACACACCCTTACTTTGGAGTGACAGGAACTATTTTTCTGAAAACACAGAACATTTTTCTTCCAGCTTGCTTTTTCGTTTGCACTTTACTCAGCTTAGAAATTCCTGCCCCGTGGTGTCTTGTTTCCAATGAAGTTCCTTCAAGACCCATTTCAAAATGTACTTCTTCAGTCCACAGGAGAATTAGTGTTCTTTCCTCTGGACATCATACTACTATGCTACACAAAAGTTTCCTCAGTTAAATTGTAGTCAAAGCAAGAATAATGATTCATATTTTATATATAGTTGTAACTCTCTTCCTCTTCCTTTTCTTTCCTTTCCCCCCTATCCCTATGCCTGATGCATAGCAGGCATTCAGTAAATTCTTTTTGAATGAATGAATTAATGACTAATTTAATCAACTGATATTTTTTGTAGGGCAATAGAACTCATGTCTAGTGAATCAATATTATTAAGTTGTTTATTAAAGCATAATGATCATTTATTCTGAGAAGCTGTGTAGTAAAATTGGATAGAACCCCATATTTGGAGTGATACAGATTAGGGTTTATTTTAAAGATCCACCATTTTCTAGCAGCATGGCCCCTGGCAAGTGACCCCAATTTAGTAGGCTTCAATTCTTTCATTTTTATGAAGGAGCTAATAATATTTACATTGTGGATAATTGAAAAGACTCCTATCACTCAACATGATGTCTGACAAAAAGCAAGTTATGTGGAAGTTGTTAACTTTATCAGCTAGCATGTTTTAGTTTCAATTTGTTATATTTATTGCCACCAAAGAATTTGTTATTTGATCCATTCATGGTGACACACACCTGTAGTCCCAGAGACTTGAGAGGCTAAGGCAGGAGGATCGCAAGTTTCAGGTCAATCTCAGCAATTTAGCTGGACCTATCTTAAGATAAAAATTTTAAAAAAGGGCTAGGGGTGTAGCTTAGTAGTTGACCGCTCCTGGGCTTAATCCCTAGTACCCCCCCCCCCAAAAGAAGAATCTAGCATTTGGATATCCATGCTAACTATATAATGCTTGCTGTTTTTTTTTTTTTTTAACCCTCCTAACCACATTGTAACCCTCTCGTGTTGTAATTTAAAAACTGTTGAGAGTACCTAGATCAGTGCTGGCCACACACTCAATTTTTATCTATTAGATTAGAGTAGTGGTTGATGATGAAGGGAGAGCATTGGATTTGGGGTCAGGAGATCAAGTTAACATTGAGTCATGTTAAGTTTTCTTTCTCTGGGATTCCTTAACAGCTTCCTCTGTAAAATTAAGGGTTTAGTCTTCTTAAATCTTTTCCAACTCATAAGGTCTGTGATTCTATCGTTAGATAATTTATCCTTATTGTGAAATAAAGAATTGCACTTTAGTTAAATAAGCCTGTATATCCTGATAGAAAAAATGTCATGTCCAGGTTTATTAACTCAATCTCAATTTGACTAATATCGTTCCAGTTTGAACATAAAGAACTGTGTCCCTTGAATCCTCTCAGGCTGAGGAAATCAAACACAGTTGGTGTTTTTAACTGTAGAACGGTTTGACTAATAAAAGATTTCTTTTTTTCTTTGTGTCTGTTTAAAGATTTTTTTTCTCTTTCTCTTGAATTCTACTTTGACAAATAGTGTTTGGTCCTTGGAGTAGGGGTTAACAACTAAATAACATAAAAAAAGCAGACAAACCCATAGCATACAAATAAGCCCATTTCTCTGGGTAATGATAATTAAATGTCATTGAATCAGTTGCTATGAAGACGGATTTATGTACCAGGAAGTATGTTATGCTATGCTATCAAGGTTTGGGATGCAAATGATTCTGTCCCTGTACGCAGGCTAAGTATGTCTGGGGGTAAGTGGGAGGGTTATAGGATGCACACCTGGGGAAGGGCCCACATACCACAAGGTTCTTATAATGCCCAAACATGTTAGACTGTTAAGGAAAGGAAGAGGAGGCCAGTGAGGACTAGAAGAGGTGAAATTTAGGGCTGCACAAAATTTAGATTGGTTATGGAAGTGGCTAGGCAGAGAATTTGAGGAGGTGGTGCTGCTAAGTAAGGCATGAATCCTGCAGGTAATTTTTCCCGGACCTTCAACCTGTCATGAAAACTACCATGGAATCTGAAATGAGGTTGTGCCGTTAGTTAAAACACAAAAGGAAATCCACAGATGAAAAAAGAAGTTTAGGGGATGAGGAGGGGTCTGGGGATGAAATCAAGGGAATCTGGGAAATGGAATTACTACCCAAATGGTCCCTGAAGTTTTCCTTCTGAGTTTTTCCTCCTTTTGGGAATTGTACTAATTAGCTTCCTGCTGCCACAATCTCCTTAAGCCCTCACCACTGGGGGATGCTGGTGGCTGTAAGTGAAAGGGCACACTTACTGTCTAAATTTGGGCAACTGAACTAGGACTAGGACTAGCTAGGACTCTGCTCTTTGGTCAAATAGGAACAAACATACTTACTTCACTGAATTGTTCTGAGTAGGGATGAGATATATTGTGTTGGTAAATGCCTGACATTGTAACTGGAGCATATTAGGCACTCAATGAATGGTAAATTCCTCCCTTGTGTACTTCTAGGATCATGCTCATTTATTTGATAATTGTCTAAGTAAAAGGAAGAATCCCATTCAAACGGTTTCAAAGGAAGGTTGCAAGCATGCAGGAAAATTATTAGGAACTGCTTTTACCTTTCTTCACATTGCACCTGGAGTCCCACTCTCTCCATCCCCTGGACCCTGTAGTGTGTGTGTGGTGGGGGGATTTAAGCCAGGGCACTAGCTCCCTCTCAGATCCACAAGTGTATAAGTTCTTTTCTCTTAAGTTGCTTTATGGGTTTGTCATGCAGGCAGCATGGCTAGCAGGGCAGGACAATCTGAAAATATAGGAGAGGTAGCTAATAACAATCTGCCTGTGTAAAAAGCTGATTCCTGCCACACTGTTGCTCCTGTGCACTGGTAAGAGCAGATTATTAGGGACAAGTTCTAGGGCAAATTTCCCTGATATAGGAAATAAGACCTTAACAATTTACAGGGAGGGCTGGGTCACCAAGGGGCTGTGATTACCTGTTCCATTGCTCTTCTTTGGTTAATTTGTGAAGTCCAAGATGCTTATCTTCAAAGTTTCTCAATGTCTGTCATTGCTCTCTTTAATTGTAAGAATTTCCTCCCCCACCCCTTCCCTCTCCATCCAGCATCCTTCCCCTAAACCATTTCCTCCCAGTCCCTCCCCAAACCTTCCTCTGAAACTCACCTCCACTTTCCTCCTAATCCCTCCAAACCTCACCCAATCCCAGCCCCAACCCTTCCCTAATATCTACATCTCCCCTTACTTTATCACCTCATTACCTGTTACAACTCCTGGAATGTTCAGGACCCCACCCAAACTTTGAACCCTTTCCAATTCCCTCTCTCCCTCCACCATTCCCTTATCCCCCTCCCTCAGCTAAGCCAAGAAATAATTCAAACAAGGGTAGAAATTGCCAATGTTTATTGATCATTTTAAAAAATATCACTTGTAAATGAATTTTATTGAAAAATGCAATTTTATGCTAAAGAAAATCGATAAGAAAAAAATTAAGTGGATCTAACAGCTACGATTTTCAGTATTAGTTTCTAATATCTATTCTCATGCATATTGTTAGTATAAATTGTAATTGAAATAGCCCCACATAATGTAGGGGTTGGGGGGGAGGGAATTCATGCAAGGTAAATGAAAAAAAAAAAAAAGCAGCTCAAAGTCGTCAGGTTCAATCCATGATCCAAGAGGCAGGGTCGTTGTACAGGTAGCCTTAGTTCATAGCCAGAGGTTCAGTGGAAGATTCAGAGCAGCAAATGCTGATGACAGCTGAGGTAACAGAAGACAGGTTTCCAGAAGTCACTAGGACCCAGGATCTACCCAGCAATTATTTCATCACGACGTCTTCTATTCCATCTGTGCCTGAAGCAATTGTAGTGACAATAACGTGATGGAAAGGACACAGTGCGGGTACTCCACTCGATGTTTGGGTCGTGCGTTTCCAGCCAGTGGATTCCAAGAATCAGAGGGTACCTCGGAGCATGAATAATGTCAAACTGGAGCTCTTCAACATGGTTTCCAATTTTGACTTCAACAGGTGGTGTTTCCTTGGTTATGGGTCCATTAATCAACGGACGTCCATCAACGGTTTCGAGCATCAGAGGAAAGATGTTATTGCGGATGGGCAGCTTCTCTCGAAGAACCACGGAATGGTCAATGCTGTTTCTGTAGGAGCCTGAATCCACCATTGCTTGCTCAAAGAACTGTCGCCTTCCCAGTCGGATTTCAACAGTCAGCCATAGGGTACGGGACATGGATATTGGAAGACAGGGGGACGCATATTTGTAGATTGGCCCGCCCGGGGTCCCCCTTACCGCCGGGCCTCGATGTTTCCCGCCTGCTGAGCACGTTGTGGCTTGACAGGGCAATCTCTGGCGAAATGACCAGGATGGCCACAGTAGAGGCACAAGTGGCCTTCACGGCGGCGGGCCCGTTCAGCTTCACTGAGGTGTGGACGATTACCCACAGCTTGCGCAGGCTGATTTTCAGCTGGTGCACTCTCAGGCCTACCTCTATCTTTGGAAGGGCTTGCCCCTGGTGGGTCGGGATCAGGCTCACCATTCAGCTTCTCTTCCAGACTGATACATTGAGTGATCAGATTAGATAGGCTGGTGACTGAACTTGTGAGACACAGCTCATTCAGGATAGAACTGGCAAGCCCTTCTTGAAATTGGATGCAGAGAGTGCTTTCATCCCAGTTCAAATCTTGAGCAATAAGGTGGAAATGGGTTGCATACTGGTGGAGAGATCCCTCCCCTTGGCACAGCTGACGGGTGTGGTAGTTGGCATCTTTCAGGTTTTCTGGATTGTCAAAAGTATCCAGGAGCACTTGTAAGAAACTTTCAAATTGCTCCAGCAGGGGGCTTTGTATATCCAGCAAGGGCTGAAACCACCTTCCTGCCTCACCTGAGAAGCGATTGCCAATAAAGCTCACCAGGGCTGCTTCAGTGGGATACAGGTGCCCTCTGACTCTCATGTAACTACTCAGTTGGACCAGGAACTCAGGAAGCTTCTGGGCATCCCCATTGAAGGCTAAAGGGTATTCTAGGGGGAAAGCAGCAACCTCTAACCCACTGGAGGCCTGAGGGAACTGTGAGGTGGCTGATGTATCCACCACTATTAAGCCTTCCAGGGACTCCTGGGGTGGTGCTGGGAGTTCTAGGAACTCCTGGGTATCTGAAGGATCCAGGGGCTCCTGGGACACCCGAGGCTCCAGAGGCTCCTGGGGAGCTGGAAGCTCAAGGAGCTCCAGGTGTGCTGAGGTCTTCTGGCATTGTGGTGCCTCCTGGGATTCCTCAGCACTTGGGGGATGTCGGGGTTCTGAATTCTGGGGCTCCTGGGACGCTGAGGTATCCTGGGTGCCTGAGGGCTCCCAGGGCTTCTGGGCCTCCTGGGGCTCCTGGAATGCTGTGGGCTTCCAGGTAGTGAGCTCCTGGGGCTCTGTGGGTCCCTGGGGCTCCTCATTCCCTGAGGGCTCTTGGAGTTCCCAGACTGCTGGGGTATCCAAGGGCTCTGGGGACTTCTGGAGTTCCTTGATCTCTGGGGACTCCTGGGACTCCTTGGTCTCTGGGGGCTCTGGGCACTCCCAGGTTGCTGGGGGAGCCAAGACCTCTGGGGGCTTCTGGGGCTCCTTGATCTCTGAGGGCTCTTGGAACCCATAGGTTGCTGGGGGAGCCGAGGTCTCTGGGGACTCCTGGGGCTCCTTGATCTCTGGGGGCTCTTGGAACCCCGAGGTTGCTGGGGGAGCCCGTGCCTCTGGGGACTCCTGGGGCTCCTGGATCTCTGGGGACTCTTGGAACTCCCAGGTTGCTGGGGGAGCCCGTGCCTTTGGGGACTCCTGGGGCTCCTGGATCTCTGGGGACTCTTGGAATCCCCAGGTTGCTGGGAGAGCCTGGGGCTCTGGGGGCTTCTGTGGCTCCTGGGCCTCGGAGGGCTTTTGGAGGGGTTCATCCCCTTTGGCTGCACAGGCTCTCTGGAGCTCTGGGATCTGGGCCTGGAGGGCAGCATTTTCTTCCATCAGACGCTGCACTTGGGCCTGCAGAATTTCGTTCTCCAATTTCAGAGCAATATAGGAGGCAGCTAAGTCCTCTACCATCTTTTGAGGAAATGGGCTTGGTTTGGCAATTTGCTACCAAGAGAGATTGGGTGGGTGCTTGTAAGGTCTTTTCTGAAAGCCGCTCACAGGCAGACGTCAGGCTCCGTGAGTTTTCCAAGGGGTGGGGATTTGGGACCCGCCAAGGCTGATTACCAAGAGGTCACTGGGAGCCTCTGGAGCTCAGCAAGGGGAGGTGTCAGATACACTGTGAAGAGAGTGGGAGCTGAGGATCAGAAACTGTGGAAAGCACTCATTCAACATAAATCAGAACAAAATCTGTCCAACAGTGCTGGGTTTCTCTTATCACAAGTTCATGTTTATGAACTGGTGCATAGATACTGGCTCTGACCCCATTACATTTTAAGAATAGCACCTGGCCCAGACTTTGCATGTCATTTTTGTATTCTTAACATTATATCAGAAGCAATTTCTCCATATTGTTTTGTTTTACATGGTCTTTAATTTCAAATGTCTGCCTAATATCCCAATGCAACACTTGGATTTTAACAGCTGCTTTCAGTGACTAAATCAAATATTTGAGCAATAAGGGGATTTTAGGCTCTGTGGTGGGCCAACCCAAAGGATATTTTTGGGTGACTAGGGTAGGAGGTAGGGGACAGCTCTTTCTGACACCTCAGAAATCATACCACATAAGTAACCACACATGACCAACCCCAGGAGAAAACAAGCAAAAGTTGACTAAATATATATACATGTATATATGCATATATATATATACACACATATGCGCTCAGCAGACACATGCATATTATTTATAAAATGCCTCAAAATAGTTAAGAAAATAATCTTTATAAATGTACATTACCATTCAGAGACTTAATGCAGGAGCTCGGCTGTCTGCGTACCCATCGCTGAGGAGGGAAGTGTGTGAATGGCTGTGGAGGCTTGCCTTTTCTGCACACACTGAACTCAAACAAACACACCCACTCCCAGAACACGTTCCAACTCTCCTCTGTAACGTAGCTATTTCGAGTGTGGAAGAGTTTTTTTGACAGTACCTCACAGTTCAGAGCCGCAAGGAAAGTAGGATGCTGTGCTGATGTGAAGCAGCCTCGTGTACTCTGTCCTTGGTTACCTTAATAAATATTTGGCCAGGAAATTGGGAGTAATACCACTGCCCTTGTGAAAAGTTGCAAACATTTCTGAATGACCACAGCGGTTTGAGACTTGATTTTTTTATGTCTGTCTCATGTAACCTACGCTTACTTTATCCACACGGGGCCATTTGTTTAATTTCCACTTAGAGAGCAGCCTGCAGCCCTTCAGCCCCTTCCCCTGCCCACCTACTCAGTCTTAGGATCCCTCTTTGTAATGTTTTTTTGGAATCTTTACCATGGACAGACCTAGGCTAGGTTTAATAGGGTAAGAATATGTGGGAGGCCACCTTTTTTGATGGGTACTTGGTTGGGGGCACTCTTTCATATCCCCTGGCACTTTCTGAATATCCTGGCCCAGGGTTCTCAGACTTTCTTGAGCCACTCTGGAGCTCCAGGCAGCACCCAGGTAGACTGCTATGGACTGGCCTCTTGCAAAGTGACCCTGCTTAGTACTTCACTTTCTTTTCTCATGCCAGATCACAATTATACCCTGGGCATGAGCCATGTGGCCATTTTAGGCAAGGCTCAGGGGCAGTTATTTTAATCTCAGTAAGGAGTGGGGTTGGTGGTTGTATTTGGCCACTTCAAATCACATATCAACTTCGACATGATCTCAAGTCTCCTTTAAAAATGGTCAATTCCACATTGGCCAGCATAATGAGATAAACTCTGGAAATGGAATAAGCCCAAAACATAACAAACTCACAACCTGGGCTAGCTGAACCTGAATGTGGAGGTCTTGAAAAGTCAAGATCTTTTTCAGTTTGAATTTATTCTCTTCCTCCCTTTTAATGTTTTCTTTTCTAGAGGTGTACCATACATAAAAATACCACCATCAGGGCTGGGATTGTGGTTCAGTGGTAGAGCGCTCACCTAGCACGGGCAGGACCCGGGTTCGATCCTCAGCACCATATAAAAATAAAGGCATGGTATTGTGTCCATCTACACTTAAAAAATATTAAAAATACCACCATCATCAGGGAATGATGTGCTCTGTTGATGCTAATTTTTCAGATATCTGAAGCCTTCCTTCCCTTTGAGAAGCCAAAACACTATTGTTTACTTTATGAAGAAATCAGAGAGGTATCTAAAGTATATGTTACCTGTCCTTATCCACTATTAAGTAGATGATTTTGAACATAATTTGATCTATTTTAATTGTTTGGGGTCATACTTACAGAAACCCTCCAGTTTCACTCTTGTAATACTCTGTTGCCCTCTGAAAGCTACTGAGAGATATGAAGCAGTCTGTCTCCAAATAAAAACTTACAAATTGCTGTGTTTTCCAACTTCTTTTATTTTCTTATTCCTTTATATTTTGCTAACCTCTTGCTATCAAATAGCCCTTCACATCACTACCTATAAGCCAAGTATACACAAACTGGGTAAATTACTTAGCTGCTCTAAAATTTAGAGTCTACACCTCAGTTTATGAGGCTGTGAAATGGAGCTTTTAATTGTATTTAACTTTTCAGAGTTGTCACAAAGAGGCAGTGAAATGATGTATGTAAAAGGCTTAGAAAAATATTTGGCAGCTAGTGACACCCAACAATGTTTAATAATAGTGACAGTAATAATAACAAGCTGTAGTAGCAATAAATTCATTATAATTTATTCTTTCTTATTATCAGTGAATCAGAAAACTGGATTGGTGAACTTTCTCAAATTGTGTAGGAGTTGAGCAAGGGCTCTCATATGAATAAATCTATAGCACATGGATTTTAAAGCATTGATTTTTTTTACCCCTCAGGAGCTTTTATCTTTTCTTCCTGGCTGGATTATGGATGATTTAGTTTATCAAAAAATTCTCTAGATTGCTGTATCACATCAGTTACCCTTCCATTGATTAACATATTGCCTTTCTAGTGTCTGATGTATTAAGAACTATGTAATGTTTTGAACGACCAACAATAAAAAAAAAAATTCTCTAGAATCAGAACTGGAGGTACCTAAGCAGGAAGATGAGATGATTAACATGGGGATTGTGGAACAGCCAAGATAGATGTTTAAAAAGTCCTTTGACTAAAGCACTGAACGGTGCCTTGCCTACAGGCATATTTATTCAGTGGGTAAACACAGTGAACTTTCTTCCCCCACTCCCCTCCACTAAACAGCAAAGACCAAATTCAATGTCTTTTGGTACAAGTTCCAAACTGCCTAAACATCGAGAATTATTCTCTTTTGAGTGGAAAGAAAGAGCTATACTGACTTTTGTCAAGATGCCTAAAGTGGTTTTAATATCCTGAATTAGTCATGTAAGAATAGGAAAGTAATCACATCCAAACTCTCTTCATGTTTCCCCCACACTTTAATCCTACTTCTTACACTCACAACACGATGGAATTTATGGAGCCCTTAGAATGGTTAAGAAAACATTTTAAGTAAATAAAATTTTGTTAACTGGGCAAATGAATATTTCAGGGAAAAAAGACAAGTATGTTCATTTAACAGATATGAAAAGGCTGCACAATAATAAGAAATGTTCATGCTCAGTTATGTTAATAAGATACATATGTTGATTGTTAGCTTAGGAAGAAAGAGAAGGGAAAGGCTGAATGAGTTGAAATTCTACTTCGTACATTCCACTAAGAAGCATAATTTTATTTTGCTAGTAAATGTACAATCTGAACATTTTTAGGTTTCTGCAGGGGTCTTCATCCCCCAAAACTGACTGTGATGCATTTTTAAGCAATTCAGGCTCCTAGCCTTCCTTCTCCTTACCCTGGAATATAATCATCAGGACACGTTACCCCATGGGTCTCTGGAACAATGCCCAGCTACCCCTTGGGGGCAGTCCCACTCTGGTGTCTGTTTTGTTCAACATGTTATTCCTATGATTGCATTAGAGTTTGCAGCACTTTCTTAAATTTAACCCATCATGTGCTTAGGACAGATTGAAACTTCATTATCAACAACACACAGTAACACAGCACTGGGGTGCTGGGAGTTCTTAATTCCTATGGATTTTAGAAAGCTGAAGATCTATTTATGCATATGACTAGGATCCAGAGCACCTGGTAATGAAATGGAAACAGAGTCTATCCCAGGACAACTCTGAAGAAGTCAAAATTTGTCACTCTTTCCTATCCCTTTATGACATTTGTCATCTTCTTACTTTATTTCTTTTCCTATACTTAGGAGGTCTTTCCTCTTGAATAGCTGTCACTTTGGGAATATAAATCCCTACTGAAGTATACTATCTCATAGGGGTTTAAAAGGAAATTTCTTGAGGATGTTTTTTTTTTATAGGGTATTCTGAGAGACTGCAACTCCTTCAAGACCCTTCTGTTAAGAGAGATATCCTGGGGACAGAGAGATCATTTTGGCATCCTTTAGGTCACAGCATGTTTTTGGTTTCCTAATAAGGCATCTTGTGTTAGCATATTTGCTTTATGAGTTAAATGTTGTGGTTTCATTGAACCTTAGTGATGTGCTAACCAGGGTGCCTTAGTTAAGAGCCAAGGCAACCATCATTGAAGCCTAACAGGAGTATAGGAATCCTCTGTTATAATCCCACTCCTGGGGAGGCACATATTGTAGGGATCTGGCCTTTTCTATTTCCTGGACCCCTACTCTCTGGGCTTTGCCAATATTGGTTGACCCAGAAAGCAAAATAAGTCTGAGCTGATGGTACCAAGAAGGCAGGGATGAGAGAGAAGTTGATGGAGAGGGAGGAAGAGAAGGAAATGGAGGAAGAGGGATAGAGGGAGAAAAGCAGGGAAAAGGGAGTGAGGGGAACAAAAGGGGATGGGAGAAGGAAAGATAATATCAGAAAGTTTAGAAAGAAGCTCAAAACTTGGCATATGTACATTTTGATCAAAGGTAAAATTTAAATTTATGGTTCATCATTTTAAAAATAATGTAAAAGGTGCTTATCTTTTGGATGCTAAGGCTTCCCTCTAAAGGTCTTAGGTTATGGGGTGACTAAGGAGGAAGGTGGGAGTATAGAGTTGGATGATGCAGCAGGAGGGACAGAATCCAACCCTGCAGTTGTGCTGTGTACAAATGAGATAATAATTTTTAAAAGTGCTTGTTAAAAATGTGCTCAAAGAAAGAACACAGGCTTTGAAGTAGGGCAGGTCTAGGTTCAACTCCCAGCTCTGCTTTTTACTAGCTGTGTGATCTTGGCCAAGTTACTAAAATTCTCTGGGACTCATTTTCCTCATCTGGAAAGTAGAAGATAATAATAGGTATTTATTGAGTTGCTGTGAAGGATAGAAATAACGTTAGTACCTAAAAATAAATAATTACCAAGTTGCAGCAAATGATAAAAATCATATTGATAGTAAAAGAGATTATTGTTGATTTTGAAGTCAGCTTATCTAGTGCAGCCAAACAAAATTCCTCTCAACTTTTTATATAAACCCAACTGATTGCTCCAATACATTTGTCTTTCCATAAAGTAAACTCACATTCCTTCCTTCTCACTCTTTCTACAGTAGTTATCGGAGTATGCAAGTATGCAAGCATTTAAAGGTATTGTGTTGCAGTTGCTGCATGCATATGTGTGTGTGTGATGTGTGTTTGGTGTTTGTGTGCTGGATGAGGAATACAAAGCTGAATTCATTTGGAGCTCTTTCTTAAAGAATTTACAGGCCAGTGAAGAAGGCAGAATTCGTACATTAGTATAAATATGTAGATACCTACTGCTGCTAAATGTCATCTGAGACAGTGACAGATAAACCCTGTCAAGGTGGAAAGAGTGAGTGAGCTCCTGCATATGGTGGTGGAGAGGAGTAGGGAGAGAATCTGGGAAGGCTCAGT